AACAGAAAGCCATACTGGAAATGCAGTTAATGAACATGATGATTTATCCTTATTATTGTATTTAATTCTTATTCCAGATCCTTTTCTGAACATCTCCAGTCAAAATTGGGTTTTGTGGGTGTGTGTATTGAGATATGAATAACCAGTACAGGGATTGAAGCTGTAAACTACATACAGTATACAATGCTTCCTCCAAGCATTTTTGCTCTTAGGAAACCCTCAGTCTAGATAACCTCTTGTGGCAAAACCAAATATCAGCAGCTAAATCAAGTTAGCAAAAAACCCAGGATCGTGCAGAATGTGGTGATAATGATTCAGCCCATGACAACCTGTTCTTGAAGTCACTGTGAAGCCATGTCCTAACATGGAGCTATGGGAAAAGGCGAAAAGTACTCCAGTTTTACTGCCATGAAGCGTAGTCTGAAGTTCTCTCTCTACTTGTCATTACTAACAATCCTGCAAAGATGCTAATGTTATTAATAATAGCATTAACACTTTGCTAAAACGAATCAAACTTTCTGTAACATGTACTAATATATACAAGATGAGATAATGCTATTACTACTGAAGAAAACTTAAATCTCCTCATAGAATAAAATTACAATTTTAATAACCAGGAAAAAAAAATTCAGGTCCTCAGTTTAACTCTCATTTAAAAGTGGTAACATACATTAGCCTAAGCTACACTCCTGCCTTGGATATAGTTGGGACAAACACAGTACTAATCAGGGATGTTGCACGCTAAAATAAAGTTTCTTTTCTCCCCATCCCAGGGCCTCTCTTTAACTCAATGTTGGAAGGGAAACTTCACCCATAGTGGCTTTTGTGACTTGTAATATGAGGTGCTGTTCCCCACCTCAGAATTTCTCTCATTAACTTTAAGAAGAAAACAGTCTTAAATCTCAGCAATTCAAAATAAGAGAGGCTGAGCACTGAAACTAATGCCATGCCAACTCCTGATTCAAATAAACTGCATGGCAAATTCAGTCTTTCTGATAACATTGTCCGTGGTATGCTTTATAGTGCATTATCAGCATTTTCAATACTTCCTTCTCTACAGTAGAGCTGATAGGCCTCACTAGATAGACAATGAAATGCTTTCCACACCGTGTGGGTGTGATTTATTTATTTCATAAATACAATTGTTCTACTTCTGTATTTCTGTGCATTTCAGTGTTGTAATTTCTGTTTCAAAATGACCCAGATAAGTGTCAGAAAAAGATTTTTAAAAAATTCTCCCAACTTCTCATATGAAACTATACCAACTGAAACTCAAGGAGTATGTTTAACAGGCAGTTAGCTAAGTGTTTCTGTAGGGGAGTAACAAATGATAAACTCATCCAGACTTCATCAATTTATTCATTTCTATTCCTGAATGATTTCAAATTAGGGAGATACTGAAAGGTTGCCATCACAAACCTTTATTTCAGTTACTTTTAAGTCTTCATATTCCTTTATGGATTCAGATAGCTGAAAAGAGAGTTGCCTTCAACCAAACATAGTATTGTTACCACTTCCAAGCAAAACCACATGGAAAGCACCTCTGATTAAAGATGTTTTATAAGCTATTGTTTTGTGAAGACAGGCAGAAAGATGAAAGAGTCGGAAAGAAAAGGCATCAAAGAAGTAGCAGACACTGAAGTCTCCTTCAGTAATATGACCCTTGAGAAGAGGTAAAAGAAAGAATTTTGGGGCTAAGCTGAAACTACAGAATGTTAGAGCAAAAGAGGAAATAAACTGTATGCAATGGGTCAGAGAAACAGGTCTTGGTATGTTCTCAATAAGATTTCATTAGCTTTTCCAGTTTTCATGCTTCAGTCTAACAACTTGTAGGTCTGGTATTTTGATTAAACCACACAGATCCAACTTAGTAATTTGATTTTCACTTCCTTTTTATGGCCTTTTTCTCCCCCTGAAACTTCCACCATTCTGAATTAGAAATATGCAAACAGTAGTCCCCAGTACTACATAATCAGCAAATGGGTAACCACTGGCTTAATCCTGCAATCCTGCTTCCCTGACACAAGCAGTGATCAGTGTCCTAACACAGTCTCCAGACTATCAGTAAAACCTGTGCTCAAAATATCCTTGTCTCCTCTCTTCAAGACTCCATCATTTTCACTGTCAGTTGTCCATCCTGCTCTTCGTTTTCCTGTTGCTTTCTAATGTACAGCTGCCAATCAAGTCTGGTTTTGCACTTGTGCTTGCAGTTTGACTACTGAGGGATTGATGCCCTGATGCTTTTGTACTTCAGATAGTGGCTTCTCTTGTGTTTGCTCTTAATCTTTTGAGCTGCTCCTTCGTCCATACCTGAAACATGGTTCATCTACCATCATCCATGATTATGGCTGCTATAAACACCAACTAGCATTAAGACGAGTACAAGAAGCAATACAGAATACTAAAGGTGAAAGCTAAATCAAACCGAAGTCCATGAACAAGTTTGCTGGGGTTTCAAAAAAAGCTATTGTTTACTGGAATTTTATACTATGCTTCCTAATTTTGATTAAAAGAAATACTACAACATCTGATTTCATGAAATTCCAGGAATCTAATGGAAAAGGTCTAGTAAATCATTAAATATATCCAGCCATGTGTGTGTTTGATAAGTTTGGGAAAAAGAATGTAACTTTCCTGTAGTTCACCTCTACCGTTTTGAATCTCCATGATTGTAGATTGCTAATGGAAGTTCTGTTCCTTGTAATTCATCCAGTCGTCCTGCATAGTAAGTAAGGTTTATAAGACTCCTGACTTTCAACTCTCCAGTCAAATCTGGAGGAACACAAACAACGGCTTATTTTTTCCAAGTTATGAAACAAATATACAAAACAAGACAAATCTGGGTCCTGGGGAATTAATATATTATTCAGAGCAATCACAAGCTATTTTTTCTCTTATGTTAGTAGTGTACAAGGTGTAGTATGAGGGAATCAAATTGTTTGATTAATAAAATTTGCCTACCTTTATTAAAATATTTACATAATGATGAAAGAAACAAATAATAATTTGTCAATTGGAAACTACGAGCTAGTGAGCTAACACATACCTCATGCTGATGAGTACTGCCACTATACGAGACAGGCAAAAAAGAACAGAGTAGTCAACTCTATTGCAGTCCAGTAATTAAAATATAGGTGCTTAATAAAGGTACCTCAATCCATTTAATCAAGTTTTCTACAAATCCTACGCTGCAGTATTTGTTTTCCATGGGCTGGTAAAATATCATTTAGGACTGACATCTTGAAACTTAGTTTTTTTAATATATGCTCTGTATATTTAAAGGCACATAATTAATATACAGGATTACTCACTGAAGGCATCATTAGATACTTAAATAATTTCTCTTCCGGTTTGACACACCCATTTAAAGATACAAAAGCTTATTCTTAACAAAAAAGAGAATGGCTAACTATCATATCACCCTGAAATAATAAGCAAAACAACAGGCTTACATTTGATGTGTGAGATTCCAACTTTGCAAACAACTATGCTGCCAACAAAGCTCACAAATACATCATATCAGAAGAAACTGGGAATTTTCAGTGTGATAACAGTTCTGTCCCTGCAATTCTCTGACCCATCTAGACATGTGTTAATCAGCTATATCCAAGTTACTAACGCAAGGTCCCTGACTGATTTGCATCAGTGGGAAGAGATTGCCATCACATGCCTCTTAAACAAGGACTCACAAAATAATGACACTTGAGGTTCTGAATATAAAATTTTATCTTGTTCTTATACCTTTGGCCAGGGTTCATACTTGAGCCTAATGCTTCTTATTGACCACACTGTTTTATAGAAATCATGTAGCTGGTGGCTGCAAACATTCTTACAATAAATATGGGACATACAAGGAATAATTACAAATATCATGAGGGAGCACAAAGGTGATAAAATACATTCATCTTAATCACTGTGTATGTATATAGCAATTAAACATCCTGTAAGGTCTTAATTTAGCACCAGAGTGAGTCTATGCAGGCCTATGTAGGCTTACAATAATAAATCACACAATCGATAATTAATTATTAGCATTCTTCTGTCTTTTTGCTTTCATACCATTTTAAGTTGCATGAGAGTGATAGAACTGTGTATTTTAAGTTCTAAGAGAATACATTCAGTATTTTTTGAAAGATATTTTTGTGTTAAAAACATAGTCAAACTTTTACACAGTAACAAATTCAGCAGCAAGAGATTTAAGGTGCTAAGTTTTTTAGGTTTATGAGCATGACATGTACTACAAGTAGTGACATAATGGGGGACTGAGTACAGAGCAAGGAACCCAATACTCCTGAAGACTATTCCCAGTCTCAACACTTTGCTGTGTGGCTTTAGGAAAGCTCTCAAATAAGTGCTGAAAGAATGAATTGTGTATGTCCTGAGCAACAGGTTTGGGTTTGGTTTTGCAAACCAAGATCAAAAGCTTTAGGAACAAAAATCACCCAGGAAAGAAATTCTGAGATCACCCTAGCTATACAGAGGTTAGTGTATATTCAGTTTAGTCAGTACTTTATGTTCAGTTTAGTCAGTGTTTACTGCAAAGTATACTTGCAACACTACAAACTCTGCCTTAGCACCTTTCAATCTCATATGACCAAGTTCTCTTCAAAAAAACCCCCCAAAAACCACAAACAAAAAAAACCAACAAGATTGCCTTAAAGCTATCATATCTTTGTTTCAACATGGCCTTACAATAGTCTCAGTCTTGGGAATTCAGAGCCACCAAAAGAAAAGAAAAAATATGCTCAAGTATGGTACGTGACCTAAACATAATTCTTCCAGCACGCTATTCTTAGATTTTGTTCCGACAAACCAACCATCTGAAGTAATAAAACATAGGAACCTGGGAATTGCTTTCCTGTTTGGGGAAAAAAAAAAAAAATATGGAAAAAACCCTCTGATACTTTCCTACTAAGATTCTTTGATTTTTCCAAGACACAAACATCATTCTGTGTGTACCAGAATAAAACAACCACGTGACGTCATTTGTTTTCACTCACCTCCTGAAACCACCAGTTATGGTAACTAAAGCATCTGGTAGAAACGTACACACAGTATTCTTGACAATCAAGCTTACTGCATCCGCTTCTGCCTTAGATACACAGCTAACAAGGTCCTCATAGTAGAGAAACCCTGGAAATCAAAGGCAAAAAAGTGCCAATCACTCTGTGGAATTATCAAAATCTACATACTGTTATGTAAGCCCCATGTGAAATAGCCACCTCTCACCAAGAAGTTAAACCACACAACTCATAGCACGGGCAAGGGAACCTTATCTAATGGCAAGAATTAAGAAATGCTTGATCTTGAACCTGAAACTATAGGTTTGTTACAGGACTTGTTGTGGGAACAAATATATTTATATCCAGCCTGTCGAGAAGTCTTTTCCTTCCTCCCTGCCATTCCTGGAGTCAGCTTCCTGCTTGGGGTGTGGGGGATCACAGGCAAGAGACAGCCTCTTCCTTCCCTCATCTTTGTTCCTATAGTTTATATATATTTTAGTCATTATAATTTGCTGTTTCAATTTATAACAACATAGCATTCAGGATAATTGCTCCACTTGCTGAGAACCTGAATATTTATAAATTAGTCTGACTTCTCTACCAGCTCCCATCAATGGCATTTTGGGGCATACTGCTTTAAAAGGTGCTCTTCCCAAAATGATGGGATTCTGCCCAAGTATAGGGCTCAGAGGTATGTGAAATATCCCAGCTATCTTTATGTCTGATCACAGAGCTTGTATTAAAAAAGCCCAGTCCTGCAGCTTGCTTCACATTTGGATATGATATGCAAAAGAAAAAAGGACAATGGAACATGAATGCAGGCAAGCTGATCCAAGGGCTACTGAGGTGACATAAAACACATGGGTTTAATGCAAACATAAAGTTACATTATGTTAATGTCCTGTTATATAATCCCCTTCTCTTAATGTAACTGATTCCTTTGTTTAAATGAGTTCCTTTATTTAGGGACATGGCATGTGCGTGCACACACACGCAAATCTATGGGGAAGCAACATTATTCAGTTGACCATGTTTAACACTTTAAAATTTTGATGTGCTAGGATTATGGAAGTACTTTTACAAGTACTTTATTACAAATCTAGATTTATCACTAAAGTAGGGCTGCCTTGAAGGAGACAGGTCTCCTCTGAAAAGTAGTTCTGGGCTTTCCTAATGTTGTAATTTTTTCACGATCTGTGCAATAATGACCCATCAATAGTTTTGTGTATAAGAGCAGATTTCATTGGGTATCTGTGTAAGCAATTAAAAAACCATGCATATTCATATGTTTTGAATGACACCATTTTTAAGTAGGAGCTCTGTTAGTCCAAACATTATTTTAACCTAATAATTTAATATTCACAAGACACTGCAGCAAGAAATGGATGTATAAGTGAACTTTGCCTCCTCCTCTGATTCTGTTATCAAGTTCTTAGAGCACTGAGATACAAGTTTTTATGAGACTTTCACCTTACCTGCTTTCTGCATTTTTGACAGCTTCAGGGTCTTGTCAGCTTTTACCTCTTCCAGAGTTCGTAAACCCATTCTGTACCATTTCTCAGATGTCTTCACTCCCACTCCAAAGACTGAGGTAAACAGCTAAGGTCAGTGGAAGAACACACATTTCAGTGTTGTTTTCTCAAGGAGCAATGAATTAACAATAAATAGGTAACAACGAGGTTTGACAGGAAACACTGGGCAGAGTTTATCCTATATTGAAGATACTGTAATACAAACATACAGATTCAGCTTCCTTTCTTTGCATAGTTACGTTGAACAGACAATTGTTTTTTATACATGGACAGTTCTCATTAAAATGAAATCTAAACAATAATACAGTAGCAGCTCCAGCATCTTTACATGATTTACCTAAATGTACACTTTCAACTAAGGTTTGAAATAAGGATAGTGATCTTTATTTTTACTGCATTTCTTAATAGAAATGCAAATAATAATGTTAAGTAGCTGGATTCCCTTACACTGACTTCACAGAATAAGAGATGTCTCAAGATTATCTTCCTCATTGACCGACATTATGATTTTGTATTATATGCACTACCAGCTCCCAGCTGTACATATGATGTTGGTGCTGCAGCACTGCCAAGAGTTGGGGTCAGTGAGAACCCTGTGGCCCTTGAAATTCTGCACCGAGGGCAATGCGTCTTAGTGGTGCATGGAAACAGATGGTAAATATGTAAAGACAACTAATCTATTCTTATGCTGCATTCTATAAAAAACGTACGTTTGGAGGTCACGCCAATACTGTTTTCCAAAATGGGATTCAATTTCAAGTACAAATGGTAATTTTTGTTCGCTTGCATATTATAAACAGTCTTACAATTCTTCAGTCCTCACGTGAGCCAAGCTCAATTCCTGTACTTCTTACTTGGAGCACAGATTTCACTATTTTGTCCAATGGGGGGGAAAAAAAAAGGCCAAATCTACCAGTCTCTGAAGTTTTAGTAGGGTTATATTCCATTTATTCCAAAGTAATTTTGTACACTAACTTATTCCCCAAAAAAGGATGTAAAGCAAAAATGTCACACTTGCAAGCATTATTCAGTGGATCAATATCTCAGACAAACAGCGACATAAAAGCAAGAGAGAAAACTTTCATGCTTGCCCAAAAGCACATTCTTTATGTTCAGTTTGTCAATACTGAAGCTCTCAATAGTTTCTTTGTACTTTCATAGAATTCAATGAGTAGCTGTGTAAGACACGAATAACTGCTGTTTTCCATTGAATCTACAACCTCTGAATTCCAACCATACTAGCTTTACTTTGTGTTTTTCTAAAGAGATTAATTCCTTGGAAATAATCAAGATAAAGAAAAGAGAAAAATTAAAATCTTGGATAATATTAAATAGGAATTAAATATTAAATAGCAATTACCCTACATTTTGTATATAATGGATGAAATTACCTATTCTTTGTCTGAATCACGGGTGTTTATGAAAGAATGTGATTTTTTAAATACTTAGATTGTTATCTTTTAATGTTTTTGCTAGTACTAAAATATTTCCAAAAGGGTCTATTACTGGGTTTAGAACAATTCCAAGAGATTTAATTAATATTGGGATGGAGAACTAAAGAAAATGGATTCTATGCCACTGTTCAAATTTTTAGTAAAAAACAACCACATTTTTTTCTTTCCATACTAAGATCTGTTATTATTCAATATATTTATAGATGTCAATTTAGAGACACTGCCAAGAGTGCAGTGTGAGTAGCAAGTAGCCCATTTCTTCAATTGTGTATGCAATCATTGCTCTTTTTCAGTTGGTGAAAGTGAATTTTATGAACTTGTTCTTTGCAGCATCCACTTCCGTAACGAGGCAAACTGACCATGTCATTCACGTACCCTACATCTCAAACATAGACTGTATAATTTATTTCAGTTGTTTGACAACTGTGGTCCTGGGACGAGAGGTGATCTTTTAAGTCATGATCAGCGATTTGTAGCCGTTACCAGAACCATGCTAAACAGTAAAATTTAGAAATTCACTAGTATTATAGGATTCTACTTAGCTTTCTTAGAAACCCACAAAAAAATTGTTGGAAAAAACTGGCTACAGTCAATTTAGTCAAAATGTTGAGACTGTACTCAGCTAACAAGAGAGTCACTTAAGTTTGCTGTAATTTGGCATGTGAAACAAGGCATAAAGCATATTTGAGATAATCTGTCCCCTGATAGGTTTTATTCTGATCTCCAAGAAATTTTCTTAAACCCTGAAACATAAAATTTAATGGCGGATCCTCAAACTTTATTACCATTAATAAGCAGGTTCAGTTCCTGAATTCTGCTATACATGCGAATCTACACCTCTTCTCTGAGTATTGCTACAGGTAGCATCAAAAACTATCACTGAACATCCTTTCATACTTGTATTATGGGTCAGAGAGAATGGAAGAGCTCAATAGCTGAAGTAAAAGTGAATAATGCAGGGGAGAATTAAACAGTCCCATTCCTTTTACTCTGATTTAAATTTTTCTGAAGGCACAAACAGGATATTTTTAGATATTAAAACTGTAGATAAAATTTAAAAAAAAAAAGTGCAGTATATATTTTTCCAGTGCAGAATTCACTGAAAATTTTAGAAATACAAACTGCATTATCTGTGTGGTTTAGATTCCCTGTAACTATGAAGTGTAACCATGACACTGAACCTACAATCTGCCTAAGAAAGAAGTATCTCCAGTCCTCTTCCTTCTGCCTCACACAAAAGAGAATTAAAATAGATCTGAGTCATCTTCTTCACCTGGTATTCTCTTAATGCCAGAATAAGATGGTGTAGTGTTATAGTAATAATCAGCTGAGGAAAAAAATAAACCCAACATCAGGTTAAACTTACAGCAAAGACTATGCATTGCATTAGTTTTCAGGAAAAAGAGATTGTTTTGTTCAAGCTTAAGAGCAGCTGTGTATGCATCACATTAATTAGAAAGGTAACTGATTTCACCATTATTCCTTACTCTATCAGTTTCTCTCCCTTTCTCTTTATTCAAGACCTTTCTTTCTTTATACTTGATATTGGTTGTTTCTTTATAATAAAATTGGTAGTAATGTCTAAGCTCTACTAAACAGAAGAAAATATATGCAATTTTAAACAACAGCAACAAACTTCAAAAGATTTACCTTAAATGATTTGTATCGTTCATCATTTAAGACTTCTTTAGCTCTAGAACTCTCTCCTTCTTCAATAATCTCCTAAAGAAAGAAAAAACGTTACTTTAAAAAAAAATCAAGATTATGGTAAGATTGAGTAAACTAATCTAAAAGAAAGTCATAACAACCTGTAAAAACATGAAGAGCATCCTCAGCAAGCATATTGTTTTATTGCATTAGGATCAAATTCTGCAATCCTGTTCAGACAGATAATTACTGAAGGATGAAGGGGAAATTGGAACCACAGAATAAATTTTACAGTACTTATTTACTCATAAATTCACTCAAGGATGAAGTAGAAACTGGGACCATGGAATATATTTCGCAGTACTTATTTACTCATAAATTCACAGCCAGAAAGAGTTATTTATCATAAGCTATCAATGAGTTGTCCTGAAAATTAGATTTCATTATTTGGTTGAGTTTACTTCTCTTAAAAGAACATTATAAGAACAGATATATTTTTTCTTGAGTGTACAGTTCCTTTCATCTTTCTGATAAAGACTAACAAACAAAAAAACCCCCAGCAATAAAACCCCCCAAATCATCCTTTTTTCTGTGGCATCATAATTGAATTCCCAGTCCCCAGGTAGTAGGCACAAAGAGCACTTCAGGGGCTACATTCTTAGCTGGTGGAGTGAGGCAAACAAGGAGCCAGAGCGAATCACAGCAGTCAGCAATGACCTCTCCAGACAGCTGAGACCCCCTGATCAGCTGCCTGCTGGAGTAACAGCACCTGAGATGTGGGGTCCTGAAAAGGCTAAGAATTAAAGAAAAATGCAGGGAATACTCAAAGCTCCAGTAAGAATGTAAAGTTCATCCATCACCTAGATAAAAGGCTCTGCTATAACTCATAGCAAGGTAGGATTTAACATTAAAGTATTAAAATACTTACCATTTTGCAAAAATAGTATTTCTAATAAAGCATTCAGGTGAGCAAATTGATGCTGCCAAGGGCAGAAGTTACATGAAGAAAACTATTAACAGTTAACCTGTCACATCCAAATCGGAGTGAGCCTTTAAAAAAAATACATACAAAGATGATACTGCATTATTTACTAATTTGTATTTATTCATTAGTTACTTTTATTCCTAAGGGCAGGGGGTCCATGACAGAACCTTATGTTACTACAAAAGGTTTCCAGAAATCAGTGCATTCTTAGTAACAAGGGTAATATAATGTTATTACAGGAAATACAGAAGGTTATGTAAATACACACAGATATCAATGCTGCACTCTGTGACCTCTGAAAGTAGATCTGTAAAAGAATCAATTGGCAGATAATTCAGAGGTACGTTACCTCAATGACATCTCTGACTCGGTCTCCCATGCAGGGCAACCCTTGTATATCTTTCATTCTGGTTACTGGAAATGGAAGAAATTTCAGCACAGAAGCTGCTCTCAGGAATTCCAGGCAGAATATTTCATTTTCTTTGAACTCATAATTTTCAGCCATTATCTCAAGGGCATCCTGGCGAGGGGGCGGGGGGGGACAGGACAGGTGTAGAAAAAAGTTAAAGGTTAATAAAAGCTTAAACTATTCAGTATACTCCTTAGAAAGGTTACTTAGTATGCTAATTCAAGAAAGATTTCTTTATACTAAGGTGAAAAGATAGAGTTCATAAAAAAAAATTCAGCATAATTTTCTAACCACTTGAAATTTTCCAGATATCATAAAAACAGTATTTGAGAGGCAAATGTGGGAAAAGAATCCGATCTGTAACAAAGCCAAACTTTAAAACCTTCTGTGAGATAGACTTTCCATATTCTGTGCAGATCTAATAAATCAATGTGAAAGAGCACCATAATTTTTAGAATTGTGTCCAAACATAAGTAATCCAGCAGGTCAGTACATGATATCTTCATTTTCAGACACAAACAAATAGGAGTCTCTGGCAATACTGGAAACCACCTCCTTTTTGATCTTTTAGCCATGCTTCCATTTAGGAATTTAAGGAACAAACTCACTTTTTCCTCTTTTTTTCAGATGTATGACCTATGCAAAGAGAAAAACATTTTCTTTATGGTTCTTCAGCTATCCATGGCTTGGTTTATTTGACATTGCACTCAAAACTACGTGGAGACTGCCAGTACAACTTATTTATTTATTTATTTGTAAACTATCCATATGTCATTTATGTAGCTTTGGAGTCTCCCTCCCTCCCTCCCAGAATATGAAAAAAAATAAATATATATATCTTAATAGCAACAATTTTTAGAAATTAAATGCAGGGAACAGATCACACAGAGGTAGAGAAAAGAAGCAGGTTTTCGTTTCCCACTATGAAAAACTATGTTTTGGGAGAGAACAAATGCTGCAAAAAAAGTTTGTGAATAACCTAAGATAAGAACCTAAGATAAGAAGGTTTGCAGCTGACCAGCAACTGGAAATCTGAGTTCTTAATGAAACCTTGTACAAAACCTCAAAAAAGACTGCAAAATTAAACATCTCCGAAGAAACCACCGAAGAGTGTACCATTTCCAGAAGATACTGTTCAAAATATTTATCTAAAATGCATCCCACGCCTGGCTGTTAGGGATGATCTTGTGCACCATTCAAATGGGACAGGGTAGGCTAGGTACAGACCATAAACAAGCCAGCCTTGCAAAGCTCCGGCACTGCATTGTGTCCTGCACTCCTCCTGGAGATCCCATTTCTTACCATTTAGTAAAGTCTCTAAAGAGCAGCTAACAGATCCCGGCCTTGAAAGGGATACATGTCCCACTATATCAGTTGCTGCATATCCTTCCTCTTTTCCAACTTGCTCCTGTTTCTTCTTTGCCCCACAAGGCATTACAAAATAACAAAGAAGTTGCTGTCAGCGTGCATCTGCCTGCAATTATCTCTTCACTGAGCAGTAGTCCAAGTGTCTGTTCAGAAATGGTTTTGGAATAAGGATGAGTAACGCCCTGTGATACAGACATTGACAGCAAATGGCTTACTAGAACAATGACTGCAGTGGAGAGTAGAAGGAATGAGATTGAACAGCTTTTCCTGCCCTCAGTGTTTATGGAATCACTGTTCATATTTAGGCTCATATTTCATTTAATTTGTAATTAAATGTATCATTATATAGTTTAAAAAATAATTTAGATTTTGCTTTGGTTTTTATCTTAGCATTAATGTGCTTTATATCGGAAAATAAAGGCAAGTAAAAAACAGCAGGCCTTGCACATCCTAAATGCTAGATGAGTAATATCTCCAGGTGAACTGGAGTCAATTCCAGGCCCACTAAATGACGTGACAGCAAATCCAGTGAAGTAGTCCCTTTACTACATCTGTGGAATTGAGAACAGCATCTGTCATCCTGCACTGAAGGAATGCAGCCTGATTTAAACAACGACGAAAAGATTTTACTTGAGGTACAATCATTTAGATCATTAAAATAGAACAACTTCTTAAAATTAAATGTGCTTCTCACAAATGAATGTAGATTACTTACATATTACATTTTATTGTTTGCTCAGTTCTAGAAAAACGGACCATCTGATATGTCGTGTTGCTCAGATTATAAACATTATATTCTCATTGAAGCAAAATGAAGGTTTAAACCACAATCTGCAAGAAAATGTTCTCTACTGACCCTAGGATTTGCGAAACTTTCCTCTTAACGAATCAAAACTATGAGATCTTAATTGGTTTGACAGTAGGCACCTTAGCTGAACAAACCCACTTCACTTTCCTTTTTTTTTTCTGTGCTACCATGTTAAAGTGTATAAAAATAATTAATTAGGGCTTGCTATAGAGAATTTGCTTTGTTCTGTATCACCAGTATAACTTCACTCCTTGATCTCTGTAAGGATCAGTCACCTGTTGTCCATCTCACTGAAAGAAGCCTCCCCTTAGCTGCATATTTATTTATCAGCTACCCTGATTAGTAAGTGCTGTGCAATTCCATTTTCATAACATTTCATGAAAGATCTCTTGAGATAGAGAGCTGTTTAGCAAGATGCTTGATCTGGAAGTTTATACCAGTATTTACATACAGCTAGCGCTTGGGTATAAGGAATCAAAGGGAGGGTGGAAAACGCTCCTTAAGGGGGGGGGGGGGGGGGGGTTTTTTACAAAAATAGTGCACAAAAACTTAGCTTCCTTACAGCTGTCTTTAAAGCTCTTGCAGTGGCTAATTGTTGGATTTGTTCAACTGCTATTCTTTTTTTCTTTTTTTCCACATTTAAGATCTTTATTTGCTTGACAGATTATGCTGTATTTAATTACATACTTTTTGGTTAAAGACAGGTGCACATTATAGTTCCCATTTAGAAAGAAAACTAATGCAAAAAAAAGGGAAACTACCAATTTGAGGTCACAAGCAGCATGGATTCATCCCACTTTGCATATGGAAGAACAAATACAGCATACACAGTACTGCAAAGCAAATGGGGAATATATATTTTTTACCAGTAGGGTGACAGGAATGAGATGTTTCCTGTGCTGTGAGGTTTTTTTGGATGCTGTCTCAAGTTCTTATTCTTTTTATTCTTTATCAGCTCAAAGATTCTTTCCTTCTATGCAATGAAAGATGCTAATTCTTACTTTAACTGAGGTTTACAGTCACAAAATTATGATTACTTTTTCTTTCTTTTTCTCTCTTTACAATCTATGCACATGAATACTCAAGAAAGCAGTGTTTGGCAAGAAATTTCTTACTCCAGTCAACACTAGGAGAATTAATCAGGGAACAGAAACAAAAAGATATAGTTGTTACCTTCTTGATAAAATAGTCTGTACACGACAAATACATAGACAGAAAACAGTTCTCATAAGTACCTACTCAGCTGTGTGTAGTAATGACAGACTGGCAAAGTCATCTTCTTGATTAGGAAGCTCAAAGTCTAGGGATGTTTTTTCTCACTCCCAACAGGCAGCCTCTCACATGCACATTTAAATAGATATATTCTACACTGAATAATCAGCCATCATGATAAATGTGTCTGCATATACCAGCACCACTGCTGTTTTAGAGAGGTATTAGCCCCTTCCTAGTAGCAGGAGGGCAGTTTTCAGAAAAGCTGTGTCACCACCATTATTGAGAAAAAACAATCACATGTAGCATTTTATCTGATTGATAAAAAGATGGTGAGGCTGCTGACAGCCAGTAAGAAAATATAATCAAAGCGTTTTTATCATTCTAGTTGGCATTTTTCAATGTTTTCCTGCCTTTGTGAAGCTCATTAAGCTGTTTTAAATAAACAATTAAATAGTATTGAATATTCATTATTCCCTGTACAAAACATTGCCTGCAAATGCTGCAATTAATTACAGATCTGTCTTTTTACATAAAACTGCTTTTGACATTCTTTTTGATAAAATCTTTCTGCTTTAAAAAAAGAAAGAAACGGCTCTCCAAGTGGAGTTGCTGCCTATTGAATATTATAGTCCATACTGAACACTATTCCAGAAGGGAAAAGCACATGAAACTCCTATATTAGCTGAGAAAAGGTTTGCAGTCTATTAGATCTCCAGTGAAATCTACTTACAGCGATATAAAAAGGAAAGTTACTGACCCCTGATTTATTCTAAACCTTTGTATTTCTTACCAAGCACCTCACCATCTTTTTATCAATCAGATCAATACTCAGATTGCCCATTTTAAAGGTTCTAGTTTAATGGGAAACTAAATTTCTAGAGATTTCCAGCACGTGGGATTTTCATAATCTCTGGCATACTCTGCAGGGGCTGCTCTAATTAAATGTGAAAGATAGCTGGGCTACATTTCAGTTCTTCAGTTACTGCAAATTTTCCATCTGTGTCTCAAACTGTGGTATGTATGTTGGTAAGACTTGGGCTATGGAAAACATTGGGCATGGAATGGACTTCCACATCCCAATGGGTCAGATACAAAAGTACACAAAGATTTTGTTGAATTATGTTAGAAATAAGGAAGAGGATGGATGTACTGACAGGAACTTTGAAGCTCATTTAATATCTGGCATAAGACCTAGTAAGATAAAATATCATTAACAAAGCAAAGCTACCAGTAAGCATCTTGCACATGTAAAAATGCACACTAAAATATTATAAATGCTAAAATCAGAACACTGAAATCAACGCAAAGAGCAAGATTCTCAACTAATATATGAGAACAATTCTTGGAAAAAAATAATAATCAATAATGCTATGCTGGTTTATGCCTGCTGAACAGCTAACCCGATAATGTTCAGCATGAATATTAGAGTATGAGTCCACTCACATTCAGGAAAGCAAAAGAAGTTAACGGTCCCATGCTATGCTTCATACTGTCCTGCTTGTTTCAACAAGATTATCAGAGCAGTTCCATTGTTACTTGCAAAACAGTCTTTTCCTCCAGTTTAAGACTCTGTGAGAACAGATATCACCAATATTATACTATCAAGAACATATTTTAAATCTAATCTGTTTTGTAAAAAAAGCATTACAGCTTCACGGACAGAGCACTTGTGTTATTCCCATGCCTATACCCACTGCTCCTCTGCTGTGTGACCTTGGAA